GGGGTAAAAAACACCTATCTCATAGGGTTATTGTCAGGCATAAATAAATTACTAGGTGTAAATCCCTTAGACGAATGCCAGGCATGCAGTAACTTCTGTGTGTGTATTAGCAGTTCTTGAGGGACTTTCAGAGGGGAAATCACTAGGATGGTGGGCTGTGTGGGAGCCATGCTGTGGAAGAAACAGGTGTTTCACCTGAGAAAGAAAGAAGTATTGAAAGTTCTTTACCACCTAAAGACAAATTTTTTGGAAGAAGGGGAATATATGTAACTGAGAAAGGTAGACTAAGGTCAGTGAGTAGAAATTATAAGGAGGCTGATTTTATTTTAATGAAAGTCTTTAAACAAGTGGAGTTGTTCACAGTGGCAGTGACTGGCTCAGTGAGCTAGTGAGCTTCCTGTTCCACAGAGGCTTCGAAGGCTGAGGAGGGTTCCTGGCCTGGCTTGTGTGGGGAGCGGGATGACAGGTGTTCTCGTCTACTCTGCTCTCAGTTCAGGCCAAGTGACTGGCTTAACGTGAGAGAATCCCACACTGAAGTTTGCTGGGTTTTGGCAGCAGGAGTGGGAACTTTCTCCCTAGAATTTGTCTGCTTTTTTGGTCTATCATTCCTTCACTTTGCAAACATTTATTGTGAGACATTGTTTCATGTCTCAGTTTGCAGGGAAGAAAATAGGTTGGAAATGAAACTTAGCTTTCCGTCTATTGTTGCTTGGCACCAGCAGTCTTTGAAGGAAGCCAGTGTATTAGGGCTTCTTATTGCTGGAAGGTGCTTCTCCGTGGGAGCGTTGTTTCTGAAGTTCTTGTGAGCAAAGCACTGAGTGCCCTTTGTTTTAGACTCTTGTCAAGAATGTTTATTTGATGTTTGTTTGCATCTTTGGAAGATAGAGATGATCTCTCTCTCCGGAGTAAAGAGACAAGCGTATTTATTGTCCAGAAGAAAAGATTCCATTTTCTAAGTTTAATTTCCTCTCTGATAACTCAGTGTGTGCAGGCATCAATATGGGCCCATCTGCCTACCACCGCGGGACTTGGGAGCAAGGGGAACTGATGCAAATATGCGATGTTCATGCCACTTGTTGTGCTCTAAGTAATGATGTCCTTAGCTTCTGACCCAGGCGTTTTGCGTTTTCTTAGTTTGTAAGCAGGGTAAAATCTCAGACTCTTCATAATTCTGAACATGGAGGAGTGGAGTGAAGGAGCAGTCAAATCTTACAAGCAGCACCAAGTGATCTAGTGTTTGGAGGTAGTGGAATTTTAACTTTTGTCTTCAAGGGAATCTTTCCATGACATTCGGGAAAACTGCTCCTGTTCTTACTGCATCTACTACCACTGAAATACTGTAATAGTGGTAACAACGACCCGCATTGTTTGAGTGCAAATGATATGCCAGGCTTTGTTTGATGTCATTTAATTCCCACAACCCTATAAGGAAGGTACATTTATTTCCATTTTATAGATGAACAAAATGAGATGCTGTGACCAAGGTCATATGGGTAGTAAATTGTTGAGCCAGGACTCTAACTGATGCTGTTTGATTCCAGAGCCCACGACTCCTTAGCAGTTAGTGTAAGCTGAGAACAGACCTGCACTCACAACACAGTAACTCCTTTTGGATTCCTGGACCGAGTTCCAGTGCATTTGTGTGTAGGAAGGGGTCTTCCCATGTACAACACCCAGCAATTCTTGGACACCAGCAGGGTGTCTGAGAACTCAGCTCAATTCTGACTCTATCTGCCTGGAAACAGCACCAGATTCTCCAGGTGTTAGGCTCTGTCCTGTAAGGATGCACCCCTTCCGCCCCCCTGCCCCTCTTCCAGATACCAGATGCAAGCCCCAGGCTGTTACCTGTGCTTTTCACTGACTGGCTGCAAGGTGGGAGTTCCCATGACCTCGTTAGGTTCCACTAATTTGCTGGAGCAGCTCACAGAACTCAGGAAAACATCTTTAGCAGTTTAATAAAGGATACCATAAAGGACACAAGTTAACAGCTAGATAAAGAGATACCTAGGGCAAGGTCTCAAACATAGGAGCCATTATCCTCATTGAGCTCAGGGCCTGGCTCTGAGGCTCATACAAGCATTCTGGTTCCCCAGGCATAGAAGCTCTCTCCAACAGAGAAGCAGGATGCCAGAGACAGAGATGATCTGCTCATGGGTTTTTGTGAGGGATTCATTGCGTTGTCATGATTGATTAAACCATTGGCTGATTCAGCCTCCAACCCCCACCCTTGGGTAGGGTCCAAAAATCTCATTAACATGACAACACACCCATTTTAACTTTAAGGCTCAGTAGAGCGTGTTTCAGGATCTGTAGCTGAAGACTAGATATATCTGGAAAATACATATTTGGTCATCTAAATGACCAAATATGTATTTCTTACAACTCGTTATATCACACTGGGTTTTCAATCCCTATGCTATCCTTTACCCTCCTTGTGTGAGGTGGGGCAAATTAATTTAGCCTTTTCAAATCTAAGCTGCTTCATCTGTAAGAAGAGGGGAGAGAGGATAATAACAGGACCCACTCCAAAGGGCTGTTCTGAGGATTAAACATATATTCTATAAAGTGTGCAGCACAGCTGGTTCCTGGCAGCTAGTAAGCCTCTCTAAATATTAGTAGCTATTATTATTATCCTTGCTGCCTGCCTTTTCTCTAATTAAAAAAACTTAAATGGTTTTGTACTCCGAGTTCTCTATGTAAGTATTTTTGAATAAAGGCAAAATGTCATTCAGGCCAGTTTACATCAAGAGGATGAATTTCAAATGGCAGACAAACCTGGCACAGGCTATTTCCTTATATAAATATTTTCTCTAAAAATGAAAATAGGAGCTAAAAATCCCTGTAGACCCAATTTACTTTCTGATCTTCATTTTAGTAACCTTTGATTTCCTAAATCACTCCTAATGCTGTGGTAATGTGTTACAGTGACAGCTGATGCCCAAGAAGGTGTCTTCTCTGGCTCTGACATTTTCCTTAATGGTAATTCTGCTAGGTAATGTAAACAATGTGAAATGTTTGGCATGTTTCTTTCTACAAATGGTTGTGGAGAGGAGATCATGCAAAGCATTGTGAAGATGGCAAACTGATTCACTGTAGCTTTGAAAAAGCTGTGGCTGTTTTCTGTTACAAGGGGAAGTAACAGTTAAATATCTAGGAACTCTTCCCTTTGGGAGAGTTGATAAATTGAAGGCATTTTCTGATTGTGCTTTACTTTAGATTAACAGCCTGGAAGATTTCAGATTTAAAGAGCAAAGTTATGTATCATGGAACGAACAGGAAGACATGCTTAGCTAGCCTAACCCAAATATTGCAAGTAGTTGTGATAGCTCTATCTGTGAAACCAAATTCCCCTTGAGCTCTCTACTGTAATTTACTCTATTAGTCAGACACATGTGTGGTATTTCAACTGGAACGTAACCTTTGAGGTAATTTGTGTAAGATCACCAGTTAACAGAGGAGGACACAGGATCTGGCATTGGGAAAGGCCTGTCTCCAAGTCTTGGGGTTCCCATTGTGTTGCTTTCCTGAGTGTACCCCACGGCCCTTAGAAGCTTGCACCTTTTCCTTTGTTATGTCTCACCCATCCCCATTTCATGCTAGATTTGGTCTCTTCATATCTATAACACATTTACAAAATTACAAAATATACAAAATTAGATTGAAGTCAAGGACTGACCTGCTGAATCTCCCTCTAAATTGAAAAAGAAGTTTTATGTTATATGGGTCATGAATTAAGATCTTTTGTTGTAAATGACAGTTTGGAGAAGACTGTTGTACAGTATTTTGCTTGCAAATACCTAGAAGTGGATATGTGATTGATTCACTGACAGCCCATCTCTGAAAGCAGTTCTAATGATGGACTTATAATTGATTGCATCCATCATTGAGAGCCTAAACTTCCCCCTTCCTAAATTAAAAGATAAATGAAATAAACTATGTTGAATGTATAAACTGACAAATCTGAGGGAATTTAATGAAACTCTAAATTATTGCAGCCAACAGATAAGAGAAAAAGGTTTCTTTGTTACTGATTACAACACTAAATTAAAAAAAAAATTACCCAAGAAAGATAATAGAGGAAACAAAGATCTGTGGCCCATGTATCAAACTAAGTTATTGAAAGATTTTTAATAAGTATATCTATCTCACTCCCTGATTATTGTTGATTCATATCAATCTTGTTAGTGCTGTTGGAAGAATAGTAAAAGCAGGGACTGTCTTGTAGTGTAGCTTATATTATTGCTGCTGTAACAGATTTTAGAATTAATATGACCTTATTTCCAGGCTGCTGGGGGCTCTGTACCAAATTCAGGTCATTTAAATGAGTTACTTGGAAGGTTGTCCCTCCTCAGTGTATGAGTAATTTTATCAGTATGCTCTCAGCTATATATAAAACATCAACTGAAAGTGACTTAAGGGAGATAATAAAGGTCCATTACTTAATAGGAAGTCCTAATTTAAGCAGCTGTAGGGTTGGCTGCTTTGGTGGCCCAGTGACATAGTAGCAGAAGCTTGGCGTGTCTCTGGGCTTTCCCATCCGTGGTTGTAAGATGGCTGGAGTAGATGAATGTCTTAGCTTTGTCTAATAATATCCAGTGTTGGAAAAGGGACCTGCTTCCTGTTAATCTTCTCATAAGAAAACTATTCCTAGAAGTTCTTAGGTCTCAATGACCACACTTGTCACTGGTAATGGAAATGGCATTACTGGGAATTACTAGGATTCACCCAAACAATTGAAGTGCTGCTGAGACTCTTGCACAGTTCATGTTGCCTGTTGTCTGATTAAAAGTGAAGGGAAAGACACCTTGGATAAGCAATCAGCAGGTCCACATAGATGGGCTATTGGGATTTACTGTGGTGGTGGTGGTTTCATAGTTTCCGATAGTACTTGTTTCATTTCCTAGTTAGTGAGATGAATGTGCTAGTATATGAGAAACCCATCTTTCTTTTACTTTTTCTTTTAAGTTTGACTCAGCTGAATATATTCTGTCTTTAACCAGGACTCTGTCCACCAGTGATGATGTTGAAGACAGAGAAAATGAGAAGGGTCGCCTTGAAGAAGCCTATGAGAAGTGTGACCGTGACCTGGATGAGTTGATCGTGCAGCACTACACAGAACTGACGACGGCCATTCGCACGTACCAGAGCATCACAGAGCGCATCACCAACTCCCGCAATAAAATAAAGCAGGTACGCCTCCTTTCCTGTTGTCCAGTGATTGTAGCACCTTCCGTTAGTGCAAGTCCAGATGTTGCAGCTTGGAGAGGTGCCTTGGTAGTGGCTAGTGGCCTTAAGCAGTGATTCGTAGCTGCTTTTCAGGAGTTCTGTAGGTGTGTGGAAAGCTTGGCTGAAGAGGATCACAGGGCACCCGGCGGCTTCTTCCCTCCCCCATGTCTTATCCTTGGCTTCTGGGGTTACTTCTCACCACAGTGTGAAACCGCACAGAGGTGATGGCCCCAACTGGAGGAAGACTGGTGGGAGCTGTTATAGGGCCTCTTACTGTGTGTTTGAGTCTGTGACTTCATTTGAAGTTGGTTGTGATTTCTGTGTAGTCATTGTATATTTTTGGTAATTTTTGAGAAAACCTAACTTAACAAATTATTTAAACACTATTGTGAATACTGAAATTCTTGAATATCAGTCTTTAGTGACAAGCATGTATTTTTATTTTGTAATTTTCATATTTTGGAGCTTTTTTTTTTCACTCTTTTTCTCTCTGCCTTTTTTCCCTTGTTCTTTTCTTGCCCCCTTCCTTCACCTCCCCTTTTCTCACCACCTTCCTTTTGTGGTAGGTCCTTGAAATCTCCTGCCATGTTTTTAGTGCCTAAAGGATAAAGGGGGTTCATAAGGGCTGTTTCTATATTTGGCCAAGGTATGAACTGCTCAAATGTTATGTGCTGTCATATCATAGCTATGTGCCTCCTGGCTGTGTCTTTTGAGGGCTGCCCTTTGATACCTTTTAGTACCACTTTTTGATAAAGAACAGTAATTGCCACTACTTACTAAGTGCTGATTGCTTACCAGGCTTGAGTATGTCTGTTCCTCACTCAACAGATTTAGGATTTGAACTCTGGTCTCCCTGACTCTAAGGTCCTTGATGCTGGTTTTTCAGACATCGTTGAAGCAGTGGCCCCCCACCTTAACACCCCCTTTAAATCGAGTAATTTGCCAAGATGCAGAGCCTCATGCTGGTCCCCTCCTCTGTACTCCGTGGCTGCCCCTCAAGCACCTCTGCAGCTAGAGGGCTGCCCCGACATTTGAAAAGTGCTGCCCTGTGCCACCGGGTTAAGGAATTCCCTGGACTGTTCCTCCCCAATAATAGCTGTGCTTACAGCACTCTCACACGTTTTCTTTGCCTTTTAGACCTTACATTATGATTTTATAAGCAGATACATAAATTACTCTTCTAAGAATCCTGTTGGTACAAGTTTCAGCCTCTGAGAGTACAGTTCCAGAATCCGTGAGCTCTTAACCTTTTTGGAAGCAATGTGTTGACCTCTTTACATTTTAAAATTAACCAAGCATTTTCAGAAGGAATACTATAATTCTTAGCTTTTACAAGTGGTGAGTTCATCTTATGGATTTATTTGTGAAACTAGGAAAAGCTATAGATCAGTCGCTCTAGATTTAAAGTAAACTGTAGTTCATTTTGACCCTATACGTACTAAGCTCAAGACGGGTCAGACAATGGATGTGTAGAGCTGCTGACCTTCCGGCTTTGCCCCGGGTAATCACAGTAAGGGTGAAGGACCTTTTGGTATTTGTGTTTTCTGATTAGTTTGCCCGACTGAAAGGACTTTGTGCCAGTCTCAGGGGAAGCACTGCAGTGCTTTCTGCCTTGACTCCCTATCACTCTGAGTCGATAGCATCTTTGCCCAAACAAAGAGTGTTGGCTGGTTATTGAAAAAGAGAGTCTCATCTTGATTATTGCACATTTGTTTTAGTAGCCACAGTGTTTTCACCAGCCTCATTTTTCAGTTTGCTGGAGTTTTGTGCAAAAGACAAACCAAAAAGGGAAAACTTTATGTTTATTATATCAGACTGTTGTCAAGAAAGTAAATGTCACATAATTCTGTTATGAATTAGCTTCAGTATTGGGAAGCAAAAGGGATAAAGCTCTTTTCAAAAAAAGCCTTTAATAATTGATAAATGGAAGAAGAAAAATGTTGGGGGAAAAGGAAAGTGAATGTTTTCCTTGCATAATTTGACCATTTTGTACTGTGAGAGTCCATTTCTTTTTATCAAGGAAATACTGATGTTTCCTTACTTATCTTGTCATTTTTGGGTTTTGATTGCACTTCAGATTCTATACAGAATACAGGTGTGTATATTTTAAAAGTAAAAATGGGGATGATTTAATAATCATTGGACTACATTACTTTGGAGCCAAGCAAGATGTTGAGACTGTGGAGGTCTGAGTTGAAACTTTCTTTTTGTTCTTCACCAAAAGAATGTAATGAAAATTCAGCCAACAAATATTTGTTGAATGCCAGCTTTGTGCATGGTTCTTCTTTAGATGCTGGGGCTGTGTCCATGGAAAGCACTAGTTCCTGTCCTCATGGAGCTTACATGCTAAGAGGAGATGGAAAAACAGATAGATGATATTTAACAACATCGATTTTAGTCTGTATATTAAATATCTCTTATGTGTTGAGCATTGCTCTAGAATCTGTGGTATAGAAGTGAATTAAACAAATTCCTCTCCTTGTGGAGGTGACATCCTGGCTTCTGTTCTGACTTTACTGAGACAGGCTATAAATAAGTAAAATACAGTATAACAGATGATAAAAAGCGCTGTGCTTTAAAAAAAGAGGAGTTGCTGTTTTAAATAGGTGGTTAGGGAAGGCTTCACTGAAGTTTCACTTGAGTCAATACTTGAAGGAAGTGAGGAAGAGTCAGGAAAGGGACCTCAGGAAGAAAGAATAGCAGGTACAGAAAGTTCCTGAAGCAAGAACCCGACTGGAATTTGAGAGAAGCAGCAATGAAATGAGTGGAGCTGGGGCACAGTGGGAAGTGGCGGGGTGGCCGGAGAGAGATGAGACAGCTGCTGGATGGTGTGGTGGAGTGGGTCACTGTAAGGACTGATTTTTAACTGAGGGTGATGGGAAACCATTATAAGGTGTTGAATACAAGAATGGCATGATGGGACTAACTACCTAAAAGGTCCCGTCTAGCTGCTACGCTGAGAGTAGATATTAGTGGGGACCAAGGCAGAAGAAGCTACTCAAACTCATGCTTTGTTGCCTTTTAAAGCTTGAGAACACAGAACTGTTTATATTTCCCATTTTGATATTATCTCATATATGGGTTATGTTGTATTGTATGGATAGTACTTCTGTCCTTGATAATAGTAGGAGCCGGCAGGTGAATTTAACTCTCTCTGCAGATGGTTCAAACTTTTCTACATCAGTCAAGTCCACTTGGAATTTTTTTCTAGATTAAAAAAATAGGTGCAATGAAAATACCATGTATGAGTGATCAGGTCAGGTGGTATGGGTAACAAGCAGAGGACTTGGGCTATCTTGTTACTGTTGAATATACTGTGAAATTGGTCAAAATGAGATGTTCTTGTTAGAAAACCTCAAGAGTGATAGGTGCTGCCAGTGTCTTTCATGGGGACTGTTGGAGCAGCAGCACCAAAATAGATGAATACGAGGGGTTCCAAGTGGGGGCTTGGGCTGTACTGGTGATGCTTGTTAGTATTTGACTTTGCGGGTTTCCTCCCCGCTTTACTGGGTGGATGAGATGACATCAGATTTCTTTAAAGATCCTAAGTATCCATCTTATCTAGCCTAGAAATGAACGTGTGGAAGAGTGGGTAATAATGAGGTATCGTAATTTAAAATCTAGGCAGTAGTCTGGAGGGCACTAATGCAGTCACAAGAACTGTGAGGCAGTCGTCGCATTAAGCTTAACTGTATCTGTATTTGTGTTCTGTACCCAGACCCCGCACCTCAAAAGGAAGGTATTGCCCTTGGACAGGGTTGAATGGAGCCTCTCAGAGAATTTAAGACTTTAGAATGGCAGCTAAGAAAACTCAGGGAAACAAGCACATGGGAAATAAAAGTTTGAAGGTAATCTTAAACGATCTATAGTTCTTTTAAACAGAACAGCAAGTAGTGTTTCTGAAGTTCATTCTTTCTAGGCACTTTCTATGAGACTATAGAAAAAAATGGGTTGGACATGTGTGAGGAGAATGCCCATGAAAACACTTATGTTTTCTCCATTTTACATTAAAAATTATTCTGTTTTGTGCTTTTAGAATTAAGAATAATGTTGACTGTCATCGATTTTCACCAACCATCCCTTGCCTGTAGGGAATAGGATATTTCTCATCTGTGGTTTCAGTGAGGTGCTCACACATTTGTTGTGCTTTCTTCCAGAGCATATGTGCACGCCAAAGCATTCCCTCTCCACCTGTATCTTATCCTTGATCCAAATTCAATATGTTCCTGATTTTATGACTTAGAAGTTATGGCCTTCCACCTCCTGTGCACCTGAACCCATCAACCTCTTACAGAAATCTCTGTTCCTCTTCTCACAAATGCTACTACAATGTTAGTCAGAGGTCCAAGTTAGTTTATTTTTTCCCAAGGCAGGGTTGCAAAATTCTTTTGTCTCTGCTTTTTGTATCATCTCACATACCCATTCACAATGACCTCTTGGGCCCTATTTTCCTTGTTTTCTTTTTTCTAATCCTCTCTAAGTAGTGACTTATGAGTTCTTGCATATTGAAATTATTGCTGTTGCCGAACAGGTGCAGCAATGTGAAGTTACTAAAATTCTAAGGAAGCAAAGAAAACCTGTGTTTGAGGAAGGATTTCTATACTTGGACTTTGATGTCATGATTTGAACAGCTTGATTCTGTGGATTTATTTAAGAAAGAGTAACAGTTTTTCAGTATTAATTATCCTGATAAATAGAGTAGAATTAAAGTACTGTCACCATTCATAAAAGATTAGGCATTTGCGAAGTATATGTTGAGGTATAATTTGGTACCTTTCTCACATTTAGATGTGCTGTTTATTGATATAGTCCTGGTTTTTCCCTTCATGTTTGAAAAACCGTATTTACTGAGCTATAATTTGCATACAATAGAAAGGAATATTTTGAGTATATATGTATATATATCTTTGAGTGTATTAACATCAGTTGAGCACTCCTTCCTGCTTTTTTGCAGTCAGTGCCTCCCATTTCATGATTTGAACAGCTTGATTCTGTGGATTTATTTAAGAAAGAGTAACAGTTTTTCAGTATTAATTATCCTGATAAATAGAGTAGAATTAAAGTACTGTCACCATTCATAAAAGATTAGGCATTTGCGAAGTATATGTTGAGGTATAATTTGGTACCTTTCTCACATTTAGATGTGCTGTTTATTGATATAGTCCTGGTTTTTCCCTTCATGTTTGAAAAACCGTATTTACTGAGCTATAATTTGCATACAATAGAAAGGAATATTTTGAGTATATATGTATATATATCTTTGAGTGTATTAACATCAGTTGAGCACTCCTTCCTGCTTTTTTGCAGTCAGTGCCTCCCATCCTCCATCCCCTATTCCCCAGGCACATCCTGCTCTAAACAACTACTGATTAGATTCTAGCCTCATACGTTATTTTTGCCTGTTCTAGAACTTCCTATGGTATGTACTCTTTCCTGTCTGGCTGCTTTTGCTCAGCATAGTGTTTCTGAGATTCTTCCTATTTCTTCCCTTTTATTGCTAACTAGTATTCTTCCCCACCCTCCAAGTCTTAAAGTAACATTTCTTCACAGCTGTGACTTTCTAATAAAAAAGCTGCAGTCTTGGGGCAATTTAGTATGAAGAGTTCTTGCAGCTTCTTTTATCTACAGCTTTGATTAACTCAGTTTAGGGAATAATTTTGGTAATGTTCATTTTCCACACAGCCTAATGCCATCTCCCCCAACCCCAGACACCTTCCTTTTCATTTTTTCTTCATGTAGTGAGCAAAAATGAGAGGTGAACTGATTTATACTGTGTATATCCTAGTGTGAAATGCTGTAATAGTCATTTTCCAATCAGAAAGGAGTTTGCCAAGCTTTACCGACATTCTGCGTTTACCCCAACTATCTTAAGAGCCTAGTTGAGTGTTCTATGATATAAAATTTATTTTTAACTGTTTTCATAGTAACCATTACACGGGCAAAAAACTGAGAATTATAGAACCAAGGTGATATAATATAAAAAATCAAAATCTAACATATTTTAACTAAGATTCAAAATACAGCATATTTAATAGCTAGAGTTCTTAACCCATAGACCAAGAACTCCAGTCAAATCTAGGAATGGCCTTGAGAAATGTGTTCAAAAAGTCGAATAATATCACAAATGCTGATGATAAAACCAGCCCTTCCCTACTCCATCCTACCGAAGTCCTAATTCTAACACTTCAGAGGCGCTGACTTTTACTTGTTTTTTTTTCAAATATTTATATTTCTATAATTTCTAAGTAATACACTTAATCTATTTTCTCTTGATTTTTCTGTTGTAGATATTGCATGATTTATATATGAACTTCCAGCTATGCAAGATGAAGATTTACTCTTTCCCCCACCCCACTTCATCTTCCCGCATCCTCTTTATATAGTTGTATCTTAGTTTTTGGTTGAATAGTGCTTATTTCATTATAACTATGTAAATATTTACATGAAGCCCTCCAGCATACTTTTTTCTGCATATGCAATTTTGTTGTTTTCTTTAGAGGTAACAATTAATCCTATTGCCTTTCTTCTGCATTGGTTCCCCTCTTTCCCGGATCCTGTGCTGTTTCTCGTCTCTCGATGGGGCACATTCTACAGAGCTTGCTGAGATATGGTGCATATAAAGTTTATTTTTTGAGAGCTTGTATGTCTGCAAATGTCTTTATTCTTTCCTCACACTTGATTGATAGTTTTTCTGGGAAATCTTTAGGACTTTAAAGGTATATTATTCCTTTGTCTTACAGCTTTTACTGTTGTTGAGAACAAGTCTCATGCATCTGTTTCACAGTCCTTTGTATGGGCTCTGTGTGCACCACCACCCTGCCCCGCCAAAGCTTTTAAGATTGTGTCCTTATCCCTTGTGTTATTAGACGTCAGGATAACGTGCCCTGGTTGGGTCTCTTTTCTTTGTATTGTTGTGAACACTTGGTGTGCCTTTTCAGTCTGAAACTTTGTTTGGGATTTTTTATTTTATTATTTTATTGGTATATTTCTCCACTTGATTTGTCTCATTTCTTTCTTTCCTGGAATTCCTATTTGGCAAGTTTTGGCCCTCTTACATCAAACCCCTCATTTTCTTTTAAATCCTGTTTTCTTATCTCTGATTTTTTGTTTTGCTCTTGGGAGGTTTCTTTCTAATCTTTGTATTAGGTTTTTTTTTCTATCATATTTTTAATTTCCAGGAGCTGTTTTTTCATTCTCCCGAGTTTTTTCTAATAGTATCCTATTTTTTTTCATTGATATATCTCCTGTTTTTCTTAAAGGATTAAATTTTAAAACTATGTTTCCTGCATAGCTTTTGTCCCCCTCCCCTGCCAACTCCCCTCCAGCACTTTGTTCTTTTTGTTTTGATGCCTGTGTCTCCATGTCACAGGCTTTCCTTGACTGTCCTCAGTAGTCATCCTTGCTAACTACTTGTGTGGAAGAGGGAGGTGCTACAAAGCTGATGGAAAGTTCAGGCAGCTGTGGGACTTGTCTAGTGGTGATTGCGCAGGGGTGCAGCAGTTCCTTGGTGAAATCTTAAATGTCACTATATATCACTTGGTCATTTTTCTCGGAGAGAAGCCATACATTTCTTGTGCTGGAGCTTAAAGTCAAGTTGAGTGTTAGTGAACCAATCCTGGGAAGAGGCTGAGGACTGAGAGGACCTGAGGCTCCTACTTGGACTTCATCCTCCTGTTTTCTGTCTAGTGCCTCACATCCTCCCCTCAGCAGTGTAAATTTCCTGCACTGTATCCTTTCTGATTTAGTTTATTCAGGTCATAAACCTACTTGGCCAACATTGAGGGGGAGAACTGCCTTTGTGGTTTGGTGAGGACCTAAGGCTCAAAATAGTCCTTGTAGAAAGTTTTAACCCTGTACTCCTGCCTTCAGTATTCTTGATGCTTTCTTTTCAGTGTTAGCAAACCCCATTCCATGCTAAAATTTTCAGATTTCTCTGCTAACTTCATTACTCACTATCCATCTTCTTGCCACGTTTCAAAGCTTTGTTGCCAACTCTTTATTTGCTGTTCCTTCCTTTCTGTTCTCTCTTCTCTTGGTATTTTATGGTAAAAAAAAAAAAATCTTTTGCTGTCATTTTGGTGGGAATGCAGGAAGGACTAGAGCTAATTAGGACAATCTTCAACAGATTTTCAAAGGGGTCTATGACCTCCAAAAAGCTAGTAATCATTCCACTGTGCATATCAAGAGAGATTACAAAATTCTCTTGTTTAAGGCTCTTTTTACATTGGAGAGTTTCATACAAGTATGTCTTGTCTTAATGTTGTGGGAATAAATTAGATGCCTTCTCAAGAAACCTTCTAATCTTAGCATTTTGTCTTCATATTTTCAGTGTTTGCTGGAAAAATGTTAACTTAGTTTCATAGTCACCAGAAGTATACCGTCACTGAGTGGGTGCACCAATGCACCAAAACTTACAAAAGCCAGACTTTGAATTTTCAAAAACATGGTAGACTTTGTAGAGCGATGGAAATGTCCTAGATGTTGATGAAGGTTTAGATGGTACAGGTATATGCATTTGCTAAAAGTCATCATGTGGTACACTTGAGATACATTCATGTGTAAATTTTATCTCAAAACAAAAACAAAACTGTAACTGAGTATTAGATTCCAATTTAAATAAAAATACATATAAGGAATGTCACAAGTATGTGAAAGTAATTCTGTGAATTGTGAAAGGTCATGATTCTTTGTATCTTCCCATGTTGTAAAAATTGAGAATTTTTACTTGGGGTAGAAAATGAAAATGTACTCACCATGTACATTGTGAGTAACCCCCTGCTCCGCTCCACCTCCCTCTCTTTTTTAAGCTGTGCCTGTGCCAGGCACTCAACTGTGGAGAGCTATGAGAATGTTTGTAATGGCCTTGGTATTTAAAAATTACAATACGTGGCAAAAAAAAAAAAGTATTGGTATGCCCTAATTCCTTTTACTCAGATATTATCTGTGGATGTGTCTAGTACTTTTTGGAAACTGGGCTTATTTCCATTTTAGTCAGTTGAGTTGAATGTCCAGGTTCTTGGTGGTAGATCTAGAAGGATAGACCAGGTGATCTTATCAGCCGAATAAGAAATATTCAGGGAAGAATAGGGAAGGAAGAATAGCATGGACTCCGATATCAGTTATTCCCATTTAGATATGTTAACATCAATGTGACACTTTGTATTTTAAAAATTTCATAGTTTTTTTCCCTAGTGTCATTAGAACGTAGGTTAGGAGTAGTTTTCTCATTTTGCAGGAGAGAAAATACAGACAAAGAGGTGAAAACACACTCAAGTGAGCCAGTGTCAGAACTAAGGGTTAGAACTTTGCAAACAGACCAACCCTGGGGAATAAGTGGGGGTGGGAATTAGGAATGGTTTCTCAGAGTAGTACCAGTGAAGACTGCCAACCAGGTTATAGGTTCAGGCTGGCAAAAGTATGGGCTGACCCAAGATGGCATCTGTTTTATTGTAGGTAAAGGAGAATCTGCTTTCATGCAAGATGCTGTTGCACTGCAAACGGGATGAGCTTCGGAAACTGTGGATTGAAGGAATTGAACATAAGCATGTCCTGAACCTGTTGGATGAAATAGAAAATATCAAGCAAGTGCCTCAAAAGCTGGAGCAGTGCATGGCCAGCAAGCACTACCTCAGTGCCACTGACATGCTGGTAAGAGAACAGTCTTCGCTAGTGGTCATTTCTGCTAAGATGTGAAAGCCCTCACTCTTCTCTGAATTCTGTAATTCCCATAGCACACTACAGCTGCTCTCCTGGCATTCACGAACCCTTGCAGGTGAAGCCTGGCTCGTTCTCTTCTTAATTCTAGCATGTGAAATGGTAGGCGATTCTTATTTATGTATTCTGTGTCTTTGGAACAATGAAAAGAAACTGTAAGAAACCAGTACTTAAATCACATTGGAATGGTCTAAAGAGGTGTCTTTAGCTTCAGAGGAAGGTAGTTAATGAATCCCATCTTAAAGAATGAAGTCTGCATGAAAGGGAGAGAGCTTCAGGAAATTCAAAAACTTGATGTTCCACAAATTCTTAGAAGGAATTTTTACATTAAGGCTCCTCTTCCCCTTTTAAATTGATGAGAAAGAAAAGAATTTTGGGGGAATTATTCTGGAAGTAACTGTGTCAAGCAAGAGTACTTCATAGCCTAGCCTTTAATCTCAGTCCATTCTGCTACTTTTTGAATTAGAAACGAAAATCAGAGAAGGTTGCAGCTAGTGGTGCATATAGCCGAGTGTCAAGACGATGAATAAAAATAAAAATGCACATCTTGCTCCCTAATAACCCTTACCTTCTCAGGGCCTGTGGCTCTTAGAGACAGCTGCCCTATCTACCTCCCCTTTCCACACGAACACTCCATGTCCATCTCATTCAGAGTTGTCTGGGGACTATAGAAGCTCTCAGTGGCAGATGGATTATATCTGGATTTTCTTTTTCACAATGGGCAAAAGTCCATTTTCTTTGTTTCACCTAATGAGATTGGCTGTAACACTGACAAAACACAAAGAAACTTGGAGGAGAAACTGGTTAAATCCCTCTAAGTGGTTATAATTCATTCAGACTTTACTAAAGAATTTTGCTGTAAGTCCTTCATAAGAAGCTTTTAAGGAAATTTAGTAACCAAGAGGTGAGATGTGCCGTGATACTCTGTCATGTAGTAAAACCTGGTTACGTGATAGGCTGGAATGGTCAGTTTCCATAGTCGAAGGAGGTTAATAATGGTCTGCTCATGGGAGTGGCAAGGATTGGTTATTTTCAGTCTGTTCATAGTGACCCCACCTTAATAATGACTTTAGGGTGTCCAACAAAAAAATGAGTCACCTTCCACTTTACTGTTGGTTTGTGTATTAGGAATGCATATTTATGCTAAATTATCAAGACTTCAGCAACCAGAGTAACAAGCTTATATATATTTGTGTAGCATAATTACATTTACATAAATCATTATTTTTTTGGTAGTTGGTGTACTTTTAAGTAAATGCCATATATTAAAAATGGGTTGTTAGAATTTGTGATAATTATGTTCATTTTAGGATTTCAGATTTTTTTTAATGGTCTTATTACTTAAGGGCTAAGTTATTTACTTAAGTGCTAATCAGTAAAGACTACTGTCCCTTTTTTTGTTTTTGACTTACTTTCCTAAGGACCTCATTAAATACTTCTTTCCATTTTTGGTTGCAAGTTATAGACATTCAACTCTAACTAGCTTAGGTAAAAAGAATTGCTTTGCTTATGGAACCAATATGCTAAGAGGACAGGAGTCTAAGTAGAATGCCACCTACGTGGTCTTTGTGCATGTCTTCTTGTTCTACTATAGACTGTTTCTTCACATCTGGTGAGAAGAAGGGGTGTAGCTGTGGCCTACTTCTTCCCAGCTTTGCAGAGGAAATTTTTTCTAATTAAAAAATACAGGGGTAGGATTTAGATTGGGACAGCCGGGTGGAAAGGAAGAGCAGTTACTCCAGAAAAGGGTCAGTGTATAAGATACATTTTCCAGAAATTTCTTTCTTCTATTTGTAGCTCTTTGTATGTTCTGGATACTAATTCTCTGATACATGGATTATAAATACCTTCTTTCAATTCAGTTGGTGATATATCTTTTTATTTTGTTTCAGTTGTCTTTTGTTATAAAGAAGTTTTAGATTTTAATGCAATACATTTTTGTATTCTTTTTCCTTTGTTGCATGATTTTTAAGAAACTTTTTTTCTACACATAAAGAGAATTTCCTATGTCATCGTCTTTAATCCATTTAAAATCTATTTTCTTATATGGTATGAATGAGGGATCTAATTTATCTTGTATATAAATAAGCCACTTGGTTCAGACCATTTGCTGAATCCATTTCCTACTGATTTACAATGCCATCTTGGTCCTCTACCAAGCTGTCACATATGTATGGGTCTGTGTCTGAGCTCCTTATTTTGTTCAGTTGGTCTCATCTGTATCTGCACCAAACTGCTTTTTTTAATTACTATAATTTCATAATATATCTTGATAGCTGTTGAAGGCATTCCCTCACCTTGCAGCTCACAATTGTCTGTACTATTCTTTGCCCTGTACTCTTTCATATGAATTTTAGTATCTACTGGTCGAGTTCCACAAAAAGTGTGATGGGATTTTGATTAATTTTGAGTATTTCATCTTTGTAATATTGAGTCTTTCAGTGAACAGGATTGTGTCTTCATTTATTGAAGCCTTCATTTATGTCTTCTATAATCATGCTTAGTAATGTAGTCCTTTAGATTTTAATGCAGTAAATTTTTGTATTCTTTTTGTGAGTTTGATTTCTGGGTATTGTATTTTCTGTTGCTTTTTAAAACAGTGGCTCTTTATTAATTACAGTTTCTAGTTATTTGTTGCTATTGTGTAGGGATGAAATAGGTTTTTCTTTTTTAATTAATCTTATATTTCCCATAAACTAATCCCAATCCTGTCTGACTGGAGAATAACAATTCATTCTTTTAAGACTTGGCTCAAATTTCATCAAGTCTCTGAATGTCCCAGGTAATTAGATGCTTTTCTTTTAAAAAAATAAAAATAGTATTCTTACCACAATAAAAAAGTAAATATGAATAGCTACTTTTCTTTGTTTCCATAAGCTGCATGTATTTTATTATAATTGCTTTAGTTTTTATGGTAGGTCATTGAGGGCAAAGGCTATATTATAAGTTCTCTATTTTTGTTTGCCCTGTATTTAGCATAGTGCACTTCTTAGTCAGAGTTCACAGATCATTAGCCAAATGGGTAAGTATGTGAAAGGCCTTCATACCACAAAACAGAGAAGGGACATTTTCTTCTCTAGGAACTCTAGTCTGATTTTTCTCTCCTAGGTTGTTTTTTTTGTTTTTTAATAGCGAGATTTTCTAGTTTCTAACCTTTCCTTTTTGCAATATTTAAATGAATGACAAAAGCAATAATTATAATAATGGCTAATACACATTGAGCACTCCTTGTACTGGTACCACTTTAAGTATGTTGCCTTAGTTAATGCATTTTATTCTTGAAACAAGCCTATGAGAGAGGGGTTTCTGATATCCTCATTTTCCAGGTGACATAGTGGCTTTGAATGATCTGGGGAGTTGGCACATCCTAATACACAATGAAGATTTCACGGAGGTAGGATTTAAGGTGTACTTGAAAGGTTGGAAATATTCTTCAATTTGGCCTTTTGTATATATGAATAAATATAGTAAGGTCTATAATTGCTCTTTCAATGGATTTCATATGAAAAAATAATCATATTTTCTTTCCCCTTGGTTGTGTGCTATTGGGAGGAAAATCTATTTCAAGGGTCCAAACTGAAATCTTTGCTACAAGGCATAAGAGGAAAGTGAAGACAAAATGATCCAGTCTTTCAAAACCCTCTGATTTCCTTGGATTTGTTTATGAAAGGATTTTTCATTTCCATTTTAAGGCAGGTGCAGATGTCCAGTAATTTAATACCTACTCAGGTTAATAAATCCAAAGCAAATAAATCGGTGGTGACCCATGGCTCTTGTCAGCTCCTGCGATTCCTACTTCACCATCAGACTGGTCTGATAGCTATAGGCTTGGCTTCTAGATGGGATATTTATTTCTCCTTTTGATACGATAGCTTGAGTATTGCATAAAATAATTAAATTGTCATGACAGGGACTCTTCATACCACAAAACAGAGAAGGGACATTTTCTTCTCTAGGAACTCTAGTCTGATTTTTCTCTCCTAGGTTGTTTTTTTTGTTTTTTAATAGCGAGATTTTCTAGTTTCTAACCTTTCCTTTTTGCAATATTTAAATGAATGACAAAAGCAATAATTATAATAATGGCTAATACACATTGAGCACTCCTTGTACTGGTACCACTTTAAGTATGTTGCCTTAGTTAATGCATTTTATTCTTGAAACAAGCCTATGAGAGAGGGGTTTCTGATATCCTCATTTTCCAGGTGACATAGTGGCTTTGAATGATCTGGGGAGTTGGCACATCCTAATACACAATGAAGATTTCACGGAGGTAGGATTTAAGGTGTACTTGAAAGGTTGGAAATATTCTTCAATTTGGCCTTTTGTATATATGAATAAATATAGTAAGGTCTATAATTGCTCTTTCAATGGATTTCATATGAAAAAATAATCATATTTTCTTTCCCCTTGGTTGTGTGCTATTGGGAGGAAAATCTATTTCAAGGGTCCAAACTGAAATCTTTGCTACAAGGCATAAGAGGAAAGTGAAGACAAAATGATCCAGTCTTTCAAAACCCTCTGATTTCCTTGGATTTGTTTATGAAAGGATTTTTCATTTCCATTTTAAGGCAGGTGCAGATGTCCAGTAATTTAATACCTACTCAGGTTAATAAATCCAAAGCAAATAAATCGGTGGTGACCCATGGCTCTTGTCAGCTCCTGCGATTCCTACTTCACCATCAGACTGGTCTGATAGCTATAGGCTTGGCTTCTAGATGGGATATTTATTTCTCCTTTTGATACGATAGCTTGAGTATTGCATAAAATAATTAAATTGTCATGACAGGGACTGTCTGCAAATAGGCATGGCCTTTTGTTTTCTTTTTCAAGGTAAACAGCTGCTGTTAGCTTATGAAAAGCCAAAAGTGATCCAGCAAGAAGCCCGTATCCATCACATTGAAATCAGAGACTTGATTAATATCGTAGCCTGTAGC